GTTTACAGAAGACTGAAACTTTAAAAAATATTTTATGGGGTGCCCCCCCCCCCCGTCACAGATTGTCAACATTTTATATAATTTTATTTGCGGACCCCCCCCCCCCCAATACATATATTTCACGGCTACGCCTCTGCAAATGTAGTCATGGAAACAAAGCATTATAAAAAGACTATTATGTTAATATGAGAAACCGTTTCTGCTATCGGCGATATTTTAATACATCACACAATAGAATGAGCTCATAATCAGTAAAACCTATATGTAATTATAGTCACTGACCGGAAAGATAACTATAACTCTTCACTTGGAATAAAGAAAAACAAACAATAAAAATGTTTGACAGTTCATTTATGGATTTTTGTGTGTTATGTTTCTAGATAAATTTTAATAGTATACGAATTTCTGTATCATTTGTTTATGTTATATTATCATTTAATTAAAGACACAATACGCCAGATATGTATATGTATTTAAAACACAAACACATGTAAGCGTCAGATGATTCCATAAAAGTCTACCCTAAAGCAAAGCCGTATATACAGGGCTTTGCCCTAATGTTGGCCTACAAATACCCCCCCCCCCCTCGCCACTGACACACACACACACCCACACCCACCCACACACACACGCACACACACACACACACACACATGCCCATTAGTGCTTTAAATGCACAAATGTCAGAATGGATACTAAAGTGAAGACAGCTACATGGAATTGAACATGTCATCAGTGGCGGATGGAATCGGGTGTTTCGATGGTTAAGAATATATACCAGGTTTCTTTTGCAACACCATTCACAACTCTTAACCATAAATCAGTAAATATCCCAAAGAAATTTATAAAGCATAGCAAACGTTTATAAAATAGCATACAATGGAAGTTCATCCGTAAATTACACAATAATAATTATAGATACATTATCCGACATTTATTTCCCGATCCTCACTATTTAGATGATCACACTTTTTGATCACTACCAAACGATCAAACCCAGTAAAATCACAAAAGGCCTTAGGGTTTGTGAGAGTTCATTAAACTAATTTCTCAGATTGTAGATATAGACCATAAAGAACGATGATGGTGGTGACCAGATTAACTTATACACGGTTATCTTATTGCACATCCTTTGATATGTGCAGATCGGAGATACCGATTATCTTCCAAGCGGAAAATGATAACTCTGATCTATATCTCAAGTCACAATAAAACTCGGGGAACTTGTTGCAAATGTACTTTCAGTTGTTTTGGAAACAAGAAAAGATGACCGACATTACAAGTTCATCGTTTGTGTTGGTTGTATCTATTGTTGCATTGATCGGAATTGCAGACGCCCAAGATTTCACACAGTAAGTTCACCCAAATACTCACTCGATTCACTGTAAATTCATGGGGCAAAAACCCCGAATCAAAAATCAACGCTTAAAAATTGACGAGTGACTCATATAGGCCTATGCTCTAGGACTTTACAAATTTAGATTTAATACAATGTGTTATATTACTCACCTTTTGTAAATACAATTTATTCATCCAAAACAATGTATTTCGGTATATATGTACATGTGGATAATCTTTTCTTGCTTTACCCAATTTCCATGTTGCTCCGCGATTAATCAATTGTGGCCGAAAGACAAAAACTATCCATGTTTCACTTCCTGTTAATTTGGCCCTGGTTCAATCATATTTTGAACCTAATTTGTTCGAAAATACAGAAAGAAACTCTATTATACATTTCCTTCGCCTTTAATTATGTATATTCCTAATTTCAATATTTATAACCATTCCTCTATTTCATTTTAGCTCATGATCAACGAAATCATTCGAGTCTTCAAAAATGGTTATAAGGGCATTGAATAATCAAATAATTTTTCAAAATTTAGTTGAGTCATTATTAATGGGAGATATACATGTAGATATGAAGAACCAAAACATTACGTCCATTAGTAGTAGTATTTTATCACTTACTATTTATTGGTTTATTTGGAAGTTGCGAACATTAACTGCTATGATTTTGGTATTAAGCCAACGCAACGCCGCTAAGGCACAAAATTTTATATGTTATAACAAAATCTCCATTAGATTTATATATTACTTGCTCACCCTTGTTGCGTCGGTGGTGTGTTCTATTGTTCACGGGAGGTTGGATGGCTGAATGGTTAGCGTGCGCGCGCTGTATCATAAAATCTGTCATTGAGTCGACTGGCGTGGTTTCGAATCCCCGGTTGTACGTGGCAAGGTGTAGGGTCGCCTGTCTAACCTCGTGGGTTTTCTCCGGGTTTCTCCGGTTTCCTTCTACTGCTAAAGACCCCTATGCGCAAGCGAATTATTGAAATAAAATTGAACTATATGTTAGTCCCGAAATGACCTAGTTTGCGTCGAGTGGACGTTAAACCCCATTTCACTCTCTCTCTCTATATATATATTGTTCACCTTTTGTAAATACAACTTATTCATCCAAAACAATATACATGTATGTAGTGGATGTTCGACTCGTCAAAACCGATTTAGTGTTAATCCTATAAACAATAGAGTTAAAGATACATTATGGGAGATTTTTATAGAGAGTTGGCCATTCTTGCTATAACAGTTCAAAAGTAGATGATGAAAGAAGAATATATTGAAAAATTCAGTCAAATTACTTTATTCTGAACATAGTTATCATCGTTGTAATATTTGCCTAGAAATGGTAGCGAATTGTGTCTTCACCTTCGCTGATCGTTTGATTGACAGGCGTTAACTCCACCTACATATCTCGATTATCAAGTAAAGTTTTCAATGGCATACCAAAACGCTTTACAGCGGCCTCGCTAAGTACACTCTATCATTTAGCCTCGATCTAACTGACGTATTTTCATCAGGTTATCCCTTATTTGATTTAAATCCGAGCTGTAGCCGAGCCATCCGTGGGTCTACAGAGTTGATTTTGGTCTTGTTGTTTAAATAAAGATCTAATTTATAATTTCTATAACACCTGAAGCCTAAATTAAGACTTGCAATAATCAGATTTAGCTCTTGCATAATGCATGTTTAATTAAAATTGTTTAATTAATAGGATTAACCACTTTGAGGTATAGAGTATAGTAGGGTAGCAATCCGGGAAGGTTGTTTATGAGTTAGTATTTAGTATAGTAACTAACAAGTTTCTATAGTTTTAACTTGACAACGGGATGATATATAAATCCAAGAAACTTGTCTACTAACCATAAACCTATTAGAGCCTTATTTGGTTTTTGTTTAAAAATATATTGTCACACTTCAGAACCTTACAGTTAGATTTGAACGAAATAGATCAAAGTTTAAACAACTACATCTGTGTCCAATACTTGTCGTATAGCAAGTGGTCTGCCATCAATATTCTGACCTCTCTTCTTGTTTTTCAGAGTTATAACCACTACTCTATCTTAAACTTTACATCGATATTCCATTATGGAAAAAATAACACGCGATATCCGGAATAATCGTTAATAATATCGGTAATGTAAATAAGGAATCATAAAGGTCCGATGACCGAACCCTGCAAAATCCCAGAATCTGTGTACGTAATACCTCACAGTGTATTACAAAACTATAAAACCTATTCAACATTTATATATTAATCATATTGTTATTTATAGAGCAGGTCAATAAAATATTGTTGATAAATCGTGTGTTTAAATGATTTAGAAACGCATTTTTAAAAGCCCATTTACACTCCAAGAACGTAGATTGTCCTTAAGTTACGCTTACGACTGTCAGGTCTGAGAAAAGATGAATGAAAATAATCCGTCTAACATACATCAACGGGTGATTATTTTGGATACATAGACTGTCATAGAACTTTTAACTTCGAAAAATTATTAGCAAATCAGATTACCATTGGTATTTGTCTTGGTTTTTTCCAATTACGGCCTCTTACGAAGTTTCAGCGAAGTACATGATAATATATAATAAACGAATATAAATATAAGCAATATAAATTTACCTATTTAAAGTTCGACATAATTGGATTTATAAATTTGCCAAGTTTGGATAATTCTTACGATTTTCTTATATTCATCAGATGGTACATTTTCAAGGTATTTGGTCTGTGATGAAAATACAGTTCTCTATCATTGCTAATATTCGATTGATAACAAGTTGTGGTATTCCGAATTATCACCAGGTTCAGATTAATTACATGGATGTACAATTAATTATTACATCACCTATATGCAGTGTCTTAACATGTTCAATTGGAACACGTTAAGAATGGTGGGTGCCAAAAGTTAGACAATCAGATCTGGTTTGTTAGATAGTAGTTATGTCATCTCTTTGAGTAGCAAGAAATAATTGATATGTTTATTTTTTAAATTCCAGGTTTAACACAACAGATTGTTCAGGTTAGTTTAATATATGTAAAATGTCATTAAAGCTAAATATAATAGTTTTTAAAATGTCCCCTATAATCACCCCTCCCCCCGTCCAAACAAAAAATAAGCAAGAAAGAAAAAAACCCCTCATATTTGGATGTGACAATGTAAACTACTACAAGGGCTGTCGATGTTGCCCGACGTCATCATATTATTTGCCATTGTAGACTCGTGTAGGGTCAGCCTCCCACCATCCCCGCTCATGAGGGTCCCATAAAAGAGAGGCCCAAAAAAAGAGAATCTATACATTTAAAAGAGTAAATTTCTGGGGGGAGAACTCAGTACCCCACTCGAGACTCCGTGGTCAGTCACACCGGAACAGCCCCCCCCCCCCTGCTTATTTGACACGTCTGCTCTAGTATTTATATGGCCATGGTACAACTTTAGAAGAGTGTTGCATTTATGCTTAACAGATCCTGAAGAAATCTCGCCGGCGTACATTGAAATAATATTGGTCTGATAGTAAAAAATATAAAACAGGAAAACACTGTTGTTTGTAACGAACAGTTTATTACTTAATCAATTTTATTATAGGTGGTTGGGCAAACTGGTCATCTTTTGGATTCGCTGCAGGATGCAGCCCGCCTTGTACCGGAGAGGGTACACGAACACGCACACGAAATTGCCCCGACACAGTTGAGAATAACGACGAAGATTGTTTTTACGCTGAAGTGGAAGAAGAAAATATTGCGTGTAACGCACCGGGCGTCTGTCAGCTAGCAGGTGCGATTTTTATATCATATTTATATCTTATTTATATCATTATATTCAACAATGGCCTAAGTAAGACCCGAATAAGCTTAGTCGAAGGAAGCTAAATCTAAAATTACTTTTTAACTGTCTCCGAGTCCTACTATAAATCAATCTGACTAAAACACAGATCCTATTTCGTTTTGTTTATTATAGTCCAAAATTTCGTTTTACTTGTCTTTACTACACTAGGATCTGGAAGAGTTGTTATCATTGGCGTGTTCTGGATGATGCGAGGGATTAGCAAATGAAACGGTCTTTTACGGCATAGGGTCAAAAGCCGCTCGTATGACCTCTGACGCGACCTCCCAAAACAACTGGTCAGATCTTCATGTAGTGTAGGCCATCGAAAGTATAAAAAAACGAAACGAAATATAGACCTGTATTTTAATCAGATTGGCTATAAATTCGATTTTATGGCTTAAGGGAAGTTATTTCATTAAAGATGCATTTTGCAAAAGCTTAGCCAGTTTGTTTCTTCTTTTTAAAGGCTTTAAATGTTTTATAAATTATTATTTAGACATTTGATCGCGTGACAATCCCAGAGTCAACTCTCTAAACCATCAGATGACTAAGATATTGACTGGATCAGACAATGTCTGTCATATTTTTGTGTAACGTTAATATTGATGCCTCTCACCGAGACTGCCAATTGAAGGTCTGAAAATCGAGGCTTCGTTTATTATCGTCACATTGGTACTTGATAATCGTTGTTTCGGGTAATAACGAAACAAACTCCATGCGATCATATCTTTCACTTTGTTTCGAAATATTGAGGGTGTACCGTCTGATTGTTAATGTTTAGGCACGTTTAGGCATAAACATTCAATTGTTCAACACAAGATCAATTATATCTGAACCGTAACTCTATCTGCGGACCTAAAACTGATTTCAGCCACGACAGAGATGCCCACTTTAAAAAAAAAACAAGCCAACATTTCGAATTTAAATAAGTCGATACTGTAATTTTTCTACCCATGTCGATGAAATTCTATGAGATTCAATCATTAAAATAGAAAGAATTCGTTTATTTATTATTTGGGTGAATTTTCGGCTCATATATTAAGTCGTTCGGAAATGTGAAAATTGCTCAAAGTGATACCGTAATTTAAATAAAAAGTTTGGCGCTGTTGTTTCGGTATAAAGATTGTGACAAGAAAAAGTTACTCGTGGTTATCCAGACACTTATCTTTGAGTACTTATTACGACAGTTCGACAGGATTGGGATACACCTTTTAAGAACTGTTCACAACATTTTTCAATTTTTTCAGTAAATGGAGGCCTAGGTCCATGGTCACAGTGGAGAACGAGCGGAGAATGTACAGCTTATTGTGGATCTGGGTTACAACCCATGGAGAGAACCAGAGAATGTAATAACCCCACTCCGACTGCAGGCGGCGCTAACTGTGTTGGTGATACAATCGAAATGACGAATCAACCATGCACAGCTACAAATTTTCAGTGCAACTGTGAGTATTATGGCAAAATACAATGATATAAATTAAATGTCAAATTTGGTAGAAAGTATGATCTATATCTTCGAATTCTTGCTCTGTTGACAGGTCGGGATTTCTAGATGACACCACTCAATGAAAAGAAATGGGATTTAACGTTCTTCTTTTTTTTTTCTGCTCCAACGGGGCTAATGACAACGGGCATACGTGTATATTACTTCCAAATAAATGTGACAAGCGCACCCATTGAGCCATTGCGGAAAATAGCGCCAATGGCAAGCACTGAAATTGCTCCCCTGTCTGGGGGGTTGGATGGCTGAATGGTTAGCGTGTGCGCGCTGTATCATACAGTCTGTCATTGAGTCGACTGGCGTGGTTTCGAATCCCCGGTTGTACGTGGCAAGGAGTAGGGTCGCCTGTCCAACCTCGTGGGTTTTCTCCGGGTCCTCCGGTTTCCTCCCACTGCTAAAGACCCCTACGCGCAAGCGAATTATGTAAAAAAAATTAAACCATATGTTAGTCCCGAAATGACCTAGTTTGTGTCGAGTGGACGTTAAACCCCATTTCTCTCTCTCTCTCTCTGCTCCCCTGTCTAAACATCTGACTTTACTATCTTGTGGTTTTAATATTTTAGTCTATTTTCAATGCCCCCAATGGTGCCCCTTCTAGTGACGCCCGGGGCAGGTGACCTCTGTGCAATTCCGTAGATACGCCAATGCATGGTAAGGTATAAATATTAAGTCCACGAGATGTAAACAGGGCTAGCGCTAACCCTAGACTTTGCCCTTACCCTTGCCCACAATCCCGTCCACAATCACGCGCCCTGGCCCTATTTACATCTTGCAAACTTGACGTAATCTGCAGGTGTCAGTTTCTAAAGGTCTTCCACGACCAGTTTTATTATACGCCCACATTGAAATGTGGTCGTATATTGTCGTCACCCCCGTCCGTCCGTCCGTCCGTCCGGCGGTCCGTCGTCCACAATTGCTTGTGGACGCTCTAGAGGCTAAAGTTAATATCCGATTGACTTTAAATTTATACACAGTGTTTAAGGTCATGAGACGAAGAAGCCTATTGATTTTCAGCGATTTCCGATAATTACTGCCAGAGTTATGACCTTTGATCGCTTCAAAAAATCTTGTGGACGCTCTAGAGGTCAGAGTTAATATCCGATTGACTCTAAATTTATACACAGTGTTTAAGGTCATGAGACGAAGAAGCCTATTGATTTTCAGCGATTTCCGATAATTACTTCCAGAGTTATGGCCCTTGATCACTTAAAAAAATCTTATGCACGCTCTAGAGGGCAAAGTTAATATCCGATTGACTTTAAATTTATACACAGTGTTTAAGGTCATGAGACGAAGAAGCCTATGTATTTTCAGCGATTTCCGATAATTACTGCCAGAGTTATGGCCCTTGATCACTTTGAAAAATCTTGTGGATGCTCTAGAGGCTTATGTTAATATCCGATTGAGTTTAAATTTATACACAGTGTTTAAGGTCATGGGATGAAGAAGTTTATTCATTTTCAGTGATTTTCGATAATTACTGCCAGAGTTATGGCCCTTGATCACTTCAAAAAATCTTGTAAATGCTCTAGAGGCTAAAGTTAATATCCGATTGACTTTAAATTTATACACAGTGTTTAAGATCATGAGACGAAGAAGTTTATTCATTTTCAGCGATTTTTGATAATTACTGCCAGAGTTATGGCCCTTGATCACTTCAAAATATCTTGTAAATGCTCTAGAGGCTAAAGTTAATATCCGATTGACTTTAAATTGATACAGAGTGTTTGAGGTCATGAGACGAAGAATCATATTGATTGACAACGATTTCCGATAATTACTGCCAAAGTTATGGCCCTTGATCACTTTTAAAAACCTTGTGACCCTCTAGAAGCTAAAGTTATAATCCGATTGACTTCAGATTCATACACAGAGTGTAAGGTCTTGAGACAAACAAGTATATTGATTTTCAATGAATTTTTATGACTTGAACAGCTAAATCCATGATGTTAAAAGTTTCCTATACTAAACGTTAGCATGGGGCAAAACTTTATAAAAACCAAACAAATTCTAATGGTTTTCTGATAATTACTTAATGAGTTGTTACTCCTAATCAGATTTTAATGTATTATAAATGTTTCATTACCGAAAAAAGTAAAAATATGTGACAACTCTTGTTGACTGCCCGGACGAGTTAGCTGCAACCTATCTTTTACTACCTCGGAGATCTTTCTTACCTAAGCTACTAGATTTTGCGCGGGAATAAATAAACAATATTCTGTGCACATAAAATGCGGTTTTTGCTATTTCAGTCATGTGTGCAAGATTTCAGAACACGGTCATAACCTCCCCAAGAAGAAACGGGCAGTATTTACAATGTGCATATGGAAACGTTAACTGGGTCGACTGTCAACCAACGAGTGTTTATCAACAACAACTGAACACACTAAACACACAATTTTCTTGGTTTAATTTTAACTACAACGTTTGGTTACAACGTAACAATTTACAGCTACGTCTACGAGTGTGCAGCAATACTGGCAGTTTCATCAGTGGAATGCGATTATAATTAAACAAGGGAGCGGTTGTTGATTTAATTTTTTTTAAAAAAACAACATTTTATGGGCATTTTTTCGATGTTTATTGAGGATAAAAAACACTCACTGACTATATCTGCTTCAAAGTGTATTTTCATACGTGTTGTTTTATCTTGGAAATTGCTAAATAAAATCAAGTTGAATACAACCCCATTCATTAGTGTGAGAAGGATTTTAGCTTTTGTGGGACTGTATATGTAATAAAATTGTATATTTTAACCATACGCTAGTTTTATGATGATTTCATAACTATTTATATTTTGCCTATCAATATGTTATAAGCCTATAGTAAATATGAGAATTTCGGTGTGCAATTTTAATTTGGTATAAAACATTTTTCTGTATTTTTCGTAGCCTTCTTTTTTACGCCAACGGCGTCTAGTCGTTCGAATGGGACGAAAAACCTGAGATCACGTATGCATCCTTTATTGCTGGAATTTGAAATAAAATGGAGCTTTAGCGCCGCTGTCTGAAGTAAATTTTGCCCATAGCACATTGACTGTCTTCCTTGGCCCGGTTGGTGCAGAGCATTTGGACCTTAAATCAATTTCTCTTTATTTTCCTTCGCGGTTTTTAACTGATTTTCAAATTTGGTATCAGAAAACGAACCCTATAGAAACCCCTTCCCCAACTTTACATTTCTTAGCCTGCGAACACGATATAGATCGAGATTTCTATATCAAATTTGGTCAACATCCAAGTATTCCTTTCGGATACACACATCGCACCCCCCCCCCCCACACCTTTTTTTATAAGCAATATTTTTATTCAGATTTGTATTTGAATAGGGATTGGGGAACAGGCATAGCCTATATTAAACCCTTCTCCCTTTCAGATATAGATACATGTATTTACATAAAGAAACAAACAATGTACAAGTGGAAATAGCGCAAAACAATGCTGCACGTCTTATAACTAAAACACGAAAATTTGATCATATATCAGCTAAGTTACAGAAACTCCATTGGCTTCCAGTTCGAGCGAGGGTTCAATTTAAAGCTCTTGTGAATGTGTTTAAATCAATTTATTCTGACACCGCACCCAGTTATTTAAAAGAACTCTTTGATTTCTATACTCCCCAGCGATCCAACCTTCGTTCTTCAAGTGATCGTAGCATATTGAGGATCCCCAAATATAATAAGCGTTCTGGTGAATATGCTTTCTCCGTCAAAGCAGCAAAAATGTGGAATGATCTTCCAAAAACTCTTAGAGAGTCCTCTTCCATCCAGAGCTTTAAGACTAACTTAAAAACCTACTTATTTCAAAAATGTTTTTGAACTGTTTTGTTGTGAATGCGCTTAGAAACACTCATGTGTAATGAAGCGCTATATAAATCGAACAATAATAATAATAATAATAAAATATAATTACAGTGAGTGTGTTATAGTTGTCCCTGGAACCGTCTGGACAGTTGTGAAAAATATTGAATGAGATTTCTATGTCGTCAATTCCATACAATAAGATTGTAGTGTTTCGATGGATAGTAGGTACATTATTTATTGTATTATTTGGGGCACCTGAATATAAGGAGCAATTCAATAAAAATGTTCAGTGTCTTCAAATTGATGACCACATTTACAGGATGGATTGTCAGAATGTGCAAAGCCGAGAATGTGTTCTTTGATTTCAAATTACACATTTTCGGTTTTGCACATGCATAAAATTCAAAACATATCATCATAAATATTCTCGGGATGAAATTAACATAAGTGAATAGTACACAATAACCGAGAGTCATATTATTTTCAAGACTTTTATACTCAAAAAGAGGCATTGTGAAGAAGAGATTGACAGTCATCTCATTTTTAGGATGTTGATATTTTGACCATAAAAGGCTTCTGTTCCGTTGATACATTTTATATCACCTTAGGTGGAAGTGGATGTAATTCTCTAGGAACGAACGAACGATTGATACATTTCAGAATGGATTTCAATTTTCTGATTAAATGTGGAAATTACAATTGGCAAACCATAATATATCGGTAAAGTTCAAAGGACAAGTTATATACAAGCTGAACACCTTTTTAGTGCCATTCATCATGGAGAATCTATTTATTACTAAATTTGATATGATCATTGTACCAAAAACCATTTCTTCATGTCAACATGTCGAAGATTAAAATGGATTTTTAATTAGTATTTCCATGTAAATAAAACCGACATGAACACCCCGCACCCCCACCACGACGAGTCCTTCGAGAGAAATCCTGGAATTGAAATTTCATCGATATATGCTGCTCGCTATCCAATAAATTATGTGCCGCCATTTTGTTATCCACGAACATTTAATGATAGGCATGTTTTAAACCCAATTGAACCCAAGCCGGGACATTACCTAGCATTGGTATTTGATTTTGTTTCTTTATTGAATGTTAAACAGTACATATTAGCGTGGATTAAGCCGTAAGAAATTTAATATGTTATGGAAACATCCCAATGGTGCATCGGGAATTTGAAGGAGACAAGTCGTTAACTCAGTATCATCCACAGTTTTTGACATTGCAAACACGACTTAATTTGGTCAATTTAAATTAGCATTGATGTTGTTATCTTACCGTGAAAAGATGGGCTTCTGATATCTAACATTAAGTAAAAAATCAACATTTTGTAATGAAGCGACTCGATGATCGTGGCTAAATATATCCCACAGGAGAATACCACTCTGTGAGAATACTACCGGGGTAGACTGGAATAACCAGACACCAAACAAAGACAGCCATTCAATTTCGCCGAACATAACTGATTACAAATTACAGTAAAAACAGAAACGACTGAATGTAAATCAGTTTGTATACATTCATATTACATTGTTAAATGCGTTGCGACCCATTTGTGTCCATTTCTAGTAGCAAAGAAGAATAGAGATTTAATTCTTTTCAGCACTCCGCGAAAAAATATTTAATGGGAAATGTTACAAAATTGATTTGAAAATATATACTACATTACCTTCACTAATAACAGTTTTTTTTTCAGTTGACTATTGCTTGTATAATTCTTTTCCAACGAAATATCCAAGTGTTTATAGGTAACGTAAAGTTGTACAGTCATTATATTGACCCATTTGTCACTATGTTGAACATTGTTATTTGAGACATATAAAGGAAATGGCATCTAGGGTGACACACCATAAATAAATATCTCCAAATATCTCGACAATTACGCCACAATATTTATATATATGCCAAGCCTCAAATCAGTTTCACACAATTATAGTCACTAAATAAACGATCATGTTGTACTTAATAAGCTATGACCTTTAATCATCTATAAATAATAGACTGAAAACTGGTTCCAAGTTGCGTCCATAACATCCAGACACTTTTGAGTAAAAGATAGGTTACGTGCCCTTGTTTTGAAATTAGTCTCGTTTAACCAGTCTATCGACCATTCTACGTCTGATTGACAGGTCGGGATAATCAAGGCTACTTTTTTACGAAACATAACAGAAAGCTAGAACAAGAAATTGAATTTAGAAATAAGCACTTTAGACAACTCAACAATTGTTTTAAGAAACTTGTAAAAGTAAAATGAAACTACTACTAGTATCATGTTCCTGCTAAAGAAAGTGATTCAGAGATAGTATTTGTACTAAACCAAAAGATGCCGCTCTTAACGGTACAGTTAATGATAAAGCAATTTAAAAAATAAAACAAACGTAATTACTAAAGCTGCTGTAATAACCAAGAAGCTAAATTTTACTGCTATTCAAAATCGTCAACAATAGATTTTTTACGGCTGTAATAGTTGATATATTTGTAGAGAATTGCACGTGCCATGGCTATTTATCGACTCAAAGCGAGTGCGGGGTAGTCAGAAATCAGTTCGAGACACGCAACTGAAGCGTGCACATTAAGCCGTGTCGAGACCAACTTTCTGTAAAGTGCACGGGTCATCCTACATCTGATAAAATAAAATAAAAGGGATACGGTGTCATCCGTCTACTAATTATAAGTCATCAGAAAATGCATCACGTGGTATTTCAAAGATTGTTCATTAGGTCACTAACACCCTATATTTGAAAATTTCGATGGTAATGAAATGAAATAGGGTTTAACGTCCTACTTTGCTGCATCGAATGGGTAAATGAAGACGGACATTCGCCATGTAGTATGCTGTGGGGTAATTTTGCCCGGACAGCGGCGCTACGGCCTACTCTTATATCGAATTCCAACTGTCGAGGTTTCTTTTACGTGCACAACAGTAGCGTTGTCGGTTCTAGTTCTCAAAGCATTGTTAACATTCTCGATTGAACACATTATAACATTAAAAACACTTTTACTATGGTCTATGGCCCAGGAGCATTAAAACTAAAAATCTGAAATGAAGTTTAAGATCCAAACTTCTTTCTTTACAACAAAATTGCACCATATTATCAAACATCGTTATTGAAACTTTATCTATACGCGAGCCAAGTAAGCTCGCGTCCAAGCCGTTTTTATTCCAGTCATGCACGTCAAGTTTGCACTAATAAATGCTTTTGTCGACAACTTTCTAAAGACAACATTTTGAAAACATATTGACAGGGTATAAGCAGACAAGAATATAATTCTGATCATTGTACTGCTGGTTCACCTGTAGCCTCATGAAGAAAATAATAAAGGATTGTATCGAAGCCTATAACTACCATTCATAATTTCTACTTTTCGCCTCTTCAAAACACAAAAGTCGAAAAGTAGAAGTTACGACAAAATGTGAGGCGACAACACGCTATGCAAGCCAAAATTAACTCGAAAATAGGAAATTAAGAAATAACACACAGCGACAATTTCTTATTTTCGACTTGCATTTTGGCTTGTATACCGTCTTGTCGACTTTCGACTTAAGTAATTCTATACAGTGCTAGGACTATCTAGGAAAAAGTGCTAAATTTTGGATGTTTGGGTTTGGTCCGGTTCACTGATTTTAATTGCTTGGTATGCTGATCTAAACAACATGTCCGTCTTGAGTAGCATTGCCCTAATATAAATTACATAAGCGTTGACAACTATTAACCGGCCAGTGGGAGTATCAAATAACTTAACATTTTAATTTCTAAAATAAAAATCTCATTTCATATAAAGTCTTTGATATCAGTTGTTTAGTCTTCCAAAAACCAAGTTTTATCATGCTGAGCTATTTTTGTATGCCCATATTTTCAAGTGGACGTGTATTGAGTCGCCCCTGTCAGCCCACAATTTATTTGTGGACATGCGGTTCCTTTCGATATTGGCATTCTATCCAATATTAAAAGCTGTTCTAACATATCACCATTCCACCCTTATGATGGTTGGGTTCGAATTTCATGAAAATCGGATTGAAACTGCCCGCTCCTCGTTCGCAAATAGTATAAAAGTATATAATACCAAGGTTGTGGACACTGTAGAAGTCACAATTTTTTTTATCCGATTTTGATCAAACTTAAAATATATGTCTATATTCCACGGATTTTTGTTTCTTTCCATATTCGCACATATCGGTCCGTAACCTCCTAGATTGTGGACCCTGGGTGTAACAAAAATTACAGTTTATACCCGATTTTAAAAACCGTTTAAATATACACCGTTACACCCTGGGTTTGAATTTTGTGATAATCGGATCGAAGGCTGTGGTCCCTCTAACGATTTGTATCCGGTTTTGAAAAAAACTTAATATTATATGTTTATGTATCAAAGATCTCGGTTTGATGTTCGCGTATATCGGGCCTAACTTCTTGCCTTGTGGCCCCTATTGTACGAGAAATTGTAAGAATAATACTACGAGTTCTTGATGTGGAAATTTACACGGAAATATTTATTTATGGCTAGAGATATGATATCATATCTTTCTTATCTAAATTACATCCTGGTTATATATATATATATATTATATATATATATATATAATTGAAATTAAAGATGGCAAAATAAAACTACATTTTTATGCTAACGTTTTCACCGCGATAGCGGCTCTTCAGGCATTTATTAAACAATAATGCAATTAACAATAGTCTATGACGTCACAATGTCATAGATACATTATTATACAGGCAAGGGTAGTAATTTCTTAGCCTACAGGCTACAAATATTCAATCCCACCACGGTCTTTATTTTATTTCATTTCATTTAATTTAGTGTTTTTCCTTTAAATAGACTTAATAGCAAAAACCAAGACCTCTCGGAGGTAAAAGAAAGCTATTTTATTGAGAAGTACCACCCGAAACTTAATTCTAATTCTAAATAAGAGAATAATTAAATTAAATTAAATAAAATAAATTGCTTGAACAAAGCTCTTTTCCGGTAACACAGGAGCGTAACTAAATCTGCCCCACAGACTGTTGATTAAAAAAAAAATTCAGACCGGAACCGGATACACTGGGCAAAAATAGCAATGCGCATGCCAACTTACCAAATCTCGCCCAAGCGAGATTACGCGACTCATAGAAATATTTTTATGACGCGTTTAATCAATGACGTCACATATTTCTGACGTCAATGAAAATAATTCTCACACTTTTTTGTTCTTTTTTTTTTTTACAAAATTAATCATATAATTCAGATCTAAATTAAATTCAATTCGGAAAAACGAGATTATTTAAATTACTTGTATCACTTGAGAATCTTAATTATGAAGGTTTTATATTTGACAATAATCAGCTTCGCTCTACTCAGGCAATGCCTGTTACATATTAATGTAACTATGACATTGTGACGTCAAAGACTATTGTTAATTGCATTTAGGAGATAAACACCTCCTGTTTCGCATTTAGAGGGGTGTTATTGTCCAATAGACATGTCCTGAGATCATTAGGACCCAAGACGCGTTAGCAAATCGGTTTAAGTGACGTAAAAACCAAAGAAATCAATTTTGACGTAATGAAAACGTCGTGACGTAGCGGGGTAACTGGTTGCTAATGTTACATTTGGCTCGCTTATCGTCTGGTTGCTATAGTAGCCGTATGAGTATAGACACACAAAAAAACCCCTAAAATTCTCACTTCATTTTTTAAAAGTACTTTTTGAAACAAAATTTTTGTTTTTGTAATAGATTTTTGAATATTTTGTTGTTTGTAGCTGTTACCTGACAAGGGGGTGGCGTTTCAAGTTCATCTTCGGACATATCTCCAAATATTTCATCTAATGTACCGAGATCAAAATTGAGTGTCTCCACTGTGGTTATCTCCATTAAAGTAGTGCGCATAATATTAATACGCAGTGATTTTTCTATATATATATATATATATAAGCAGGATCTAATTTAGATAAGAAAGATATGATATCATATCCCTAGCCATAAATAAATATTTCCGTGTAAATTTCCACATCAAGAACTCTGTGGTGACAGAGAATATAAGTAATATTGTTATAATACATTATTAAAGGTGTACTGTTTTGTTGACATTGACAATAAATTCGCGTTAACAAAATAGTTTATAAAGTCTAGTATTGATGGCGATATTAGCGACCTTTGATTTTGGCTTGCTGTCGTACTGTTGTCTTTTCGCCTCAGAAGTTGATGTAGTCTCTACTTCCAAGGTCACTTTTCGACTTTCGTGTTTTGAAGGGGCGAAAAGTAGAAATTATGAATGGTAGTTATAGGCTTCCATAAGATTGTAAGACAAAATAAACATTTTACCATTGGTTCACGAATGCCTTTAAGTGCCATTTATAACAAGGGACTCGAAGGACGGGGCTAGATATATTCCACAAGTAACTCAAACGGTTATGTCATATTCCTATCTGGAGAGCATGCGCAATAAATACTAAATCAGTTTATGTACATTCATATTATATTATTATTTGTGTTGCGAACCATTTGTGTCAATTTCTAGGTCCTAAATATTAGCGATTTAGCTCTTTTAAATAACAAATACATGTAGATTGTTTTGGGGTGACCTTTTCCCTGTATGTAAATAATCAGTAAATGTTCATATTTTTGCACCAAAATAGATAATTTTGGATCAAATTTTCTTTTACTGATAATTGATAAGTTCGTAAATAGTATTGTACGATGAATCAATAGGCCATTAATATTTCGATATTGACCCCTTTCTATAGAAATCAATATATAATTGGCAAGAGTTATACAATCGTAATGTGCTCAACAACCCTTGTTTTACTTATGAATATTTATCTCCCCAAGAAAAAGTTCCAAAATCATTTAATTGGTTAACATCAAATTGGTCAATATCAAAGTATATGGGTAAATAATGTAAGATATTTTATACCCTGGCTTAGACAAGCTGCTGTAGATATTACATCAAATTAATAAGCTTATTATTACATTATGTAATATTTGAATCAAATTTTTTTAATTTTATTAAACTGTTATTAAATTTGTTTATTTCTGTGTTTAATTTGATTAATTTTTCTTATTCTCTTATTCAAATTTCATAGAATCTGATTCCAAACCCATCTAGCTTTAGTTTTACATTCTAAATATAGAGCTGTGTAATATGACACTTATACAATACACCATCTGAATAGATAATAATTGGGCTACAATTTTTTGTCT